GTGACAGATGGACCACATAAAATGTATATGGTGTCAGTGAACAAGGCGGTTTCCCTTGCACTTCTAACACAACCGGGTCATTGTTGGCCTTGTTCTATACAGCAGCGTTGGAGTTAGTCATATATTAGTTCGATCTGTCCTATTAATTCAAACAAAAAAAGGAATACACACCCACAAATTGCGAACCCGTAAACAAAACACCAACACATTTTGTGCCTCGACTGCAGATAATTTATACTCATTTATTCTTTATAAACTAAAGATAAAATGAGGTTGTTCATCTGAACATGTGGAGAATCAGTTTTGAAGAATACGTTTTTAATCAATACATACGTCGACGAAATTGAATATATGTGCCGAGCTGCTTTCAGTGAACCAACCACTGACTAAAGCTGCAAATAATTTCCAAGAAAATACTCCATGTGTACACATTATACAAGATGGTGCACTACACTGTGTTGTTTAATTTACTTCATCTGCAATATACCTAGATCGTACAATAACTTTATTTGACTTTCCCAGTATGAAGTTTATACTAAGTCTTTCGACAGTGTAACGTTAATTCATGCTTGTAAACAACTGACATTTATGAACAGAGTATTTCAACTTATATATTGTATTGTTAATTGGGATGAAATAATTGAACAGAAAACCTCTTAACAGTATCGTCTGTAGAAAATGAAATCACACACTGATTCATATTATCCATCATTCTACACTATCCATCATCATATAGATTCTGTTGTATGAACCGTAATGCTTCATAACTATAGTATATCATAATGTATGTGTACTTTTATAACAATATTTTGACATTAAACATTACCTCTAATTGTGGTGGTGCAGGCTCTTTTCGGTGATAAAATAATATATACATACTCGTTTGGTCCTAATTCACATGGTAACTCAAACCCAACTGAAAGTACAGTCGAACATCGAACCTACCTGGACCGTGTTGTAACTTCGAGATATCTGGCCATCCGAGATGACGCGACATGACGGGACCCGACAATAATTAAGGCATTTTTTTACGCAAGGCTTCCGAATAAAGATATGCATCATAATGCTAAAGTACTTTGTTTTCTATAATGCAATATGTATAGATTACTAACCGTGAATTATCCCTTTAAATAACATAACTTTTATATTCTGTATCCAGCTTTGTTAAGAGAATTTGAAAGTGCACAGGCATAAATAGTACAGTTTTCAAAATGACATAACAAACCAGAGAAGGGGAGAATCCGGCTGGCTATGAGAAACGATGTATTAAAACAAACAAAACCTTTCGTTCTATCTGTGTACGATTGTACTGTTCTTAATATGCTAATATTTGCATTCCTTCTGAGATCAGCGTTACAATCAAGTTTGTAGTAATTAGAACACTGTTAATACATTTAAATAAAAGTCATTTAACAAAACACTATGTCTTCGATATTCACATATATATCATGGAGATGAAAAATGAAAAAGAAACTTTTCTAGGGTTCCCACAATCGCCACTGGGGCCATTCTTTACCCCTACACATAACAAGTTATAATTCAACATGTACTCTGAATGTCTCCAAATTTTAGTGTGAATACGTTTGTATTTTCTATTTCAATGAGAATAATAAGAAGGCGATATAGGGTTGCGAGTGCGAAGACTAGCCTTAAACTTAAGAATTGGCTGCATTCCGAAGCATTCCGAAGCTGAATGCGAGAATGGAAATATGATATTGAAAGACATTGCATCCGTGAGAAAGGTTTGTTAATTATCCCAAAGTTTCTGAATCTGTTTTTAACATTTTTAATAACCGCGCTAAAGTTAACATTTGAAACCTCCCGCTTCAGTTTTAGAGCGATTAATTATATAAGTTACCTCGGCCCACATTGAAAACACACTACGCTTATCTCATGACAAAATCAAACCCAAACTTTTTGGAGTTAGCAAAGATATTAAATGAATCCACATAAATGAAGTACAACGCTTTGAGGGGATTGTCGATATGAATAAGGGAAATACCGATAATTAGCTATATGACATTGTTTCTTCACATCATCACACTTTACTCGCATATTGTAAGACAGCTTACTTCGTCAGCAAGCCTGAAGTGGACTCACCAAAGGAAATTAATCAAGCTTACTTCGGCTCTACAACACACGTACTATCAAACTGCTTTTTGTTTTATCATTTAGATTAATCCAGATAAAATTATATAGCTGTGCGTTCGGATCCAAGATCATTTTAAAGCGGTATAACATGCAGGTAACTATTCTCTACGAGAACGGTAATGTATGTACATGTATTTCACTGGCAGTATCCACAATCCAAATTTGACTTTTCTTTGACGAATCAGTTTGTTGTTAATACTGTCGGCCTTGTGATAAAGTGTGCCTAATATTTCATCATTAAAACAAACTTCTTTTAAACCAAGCAAGATGACATACAATCAGCATTGTCACAGACTGTGACTGAGGGATCCCTGTTTCACTCTTACGACAAGCACGATATGCTTAGTTTGCCGTGGTATCCCGCGGACAGTTTCTCATTGAGACATACCACGTTCACTTCCATTTACATCAACAGGTGTTCATTTGGATATGAGGTATAAATCATAGTTAGACACATTATGACTTCAATTATTACTATATTCTGTCGAGTATTAATCCAATTCAAAATATAGATGTGGTTACAATAGTCTTTCTGTTGATTTTTTATGAAGGATATCCCCGGTGTAATTCGAGTGATTGCCCATGTAGACGTTTCTCAAGCGGCGAACGTATACGAAAGAGAGACATTGTTTGTATTTGTCTCACCCATATGTACATACAAATATAAAACCATCTATAATTAAAAAAACATATCATGTACAATGACCGCCCTAAAAGTTCTATGTGAGAAACGTATCCACGTACAAACACAAACAAATGAAACATAATCACACCCGGTTGTACTTGATTAATTATAAGAACATTCTGGGAAAAAGATGTTGATGACTACATAAGTTTAATCAGCTCACATACACATCTGTAAACATTCTTTTCAAGAATATTATCGAAACAATCGCGAATGCTTCCAGAGCTCCCGATCAACAAATATGTTTTGTAGTCAAATGTTTTGCCTTTTCCAGTTTAGTATACTCTCTTAAGTATACATTACGTTGATATTTGGGAACGTTCTGTCGGTAAACTATCCACTAACACCAAATAGAGCTCCGTAAAAAACATGTCTAACTCGCCACATCTGTGCTGATCAATTTCCTATCTGACATACATCACATGGCGAAACACACGTCGTTATTTATAAGGACGGCAGATGTCTCGCTTTCAGGTTTATCTCCACAATTATCAAATTCAACTGATCAAGATTTGAATTATCTGACTGTTTCTTCTGTGTCTTTGTTTATAGGGACAGTTTATACATGTGCTTTGTCTGCAGCAAGAGTACACACAGCAGAGGGTGGATTTGTTACAACATTGTCATTGTGCTGCTATGCATGGTTTTATTACAAACATGTAACTCCCATTACTGTCGAGAGATTGCACACAGAAATATACTTTTTAAAGTTTAAATCATGCATATTATGTATAAATTGTAGTCGGTGTACACACGGGTGCACATATTCGCCATTCCCGAAGATCAAGATTACGATCAATACTTTTGTATTATTGTTTGTACTGAGAAATGCAGATCAGTCGTCCGAAGAACACACTACTAGGTTAATAGTTGGATAGCCAGATCGATGAGATACATGAATGCGGTTTGATTACAACCTCGATTGAGTCAGAAAAATGTATTTTACTCTGTAATTGTATCATTGTGACTAAACATATGTATATTCGCAACGTTTATATAGTAATCCCCCATCATTTTTTAAATGTCTGTGCTTAAACAGATTACACAATTACAGAGCTTGTTCTCGGGGAAGAGAGATTCACAGAAAACACTCATTCAAATAAACCTGTGCATATTGTTACACTGTTATTGTCTTGTAAATCATTTTGTATTTATTGCTGTTTGACTGATTCGGAAAACAAACAAAAAAACGATCAAAGTTTCTTTCAAGGTAATAATCTACGTTGTCTTTCACTCGAAAGAATAAAAACACCACATGGGAGAATATTCGGAAAACACAACCCAAAGCTCGCCACGATTGTTAGTGTGAAATATGTGCTTGTCCATGGATATTTGGACGTAACCAACACGATGCTACTAGAAGACGTTTTCATTATTACAATGCACTTGGATTTGAATAATTCCTTCGTTACACTTGATTCTAACTCTGCTGTGTACACTTTAGATACTAGTGGAGACCTAGCCAGAGACCCGAGGGCAAATAGGCCATGTGATAACCCTAAGAACTATCACTTCTCAGTTTACTATGGGAGCCACTCACACCTTTGGAATTAGTATTGTTTCAAACAGGATTTATAAAACTGTTATAATCTGTTTTTTTTGGCCTGACTTTGATACAACAATCTCTATTATCACAATGATCGCTTGAAGTGGTTTGCTGAAGCACTTATAACGTTAGATAGTAGCTGTCACTTCTCGAGTGTCCCCCACTTACTGTGTTTAGCGACTTTCAGCTTGATCTCGCATGATCTCACGCGAGTTCGCGCTGTCGAAGTGATAACTATCCGTCAGTCAAAACCGACATTTTCCGTTTTAGTGCGGTCGTTAAAAAAGTTGGTATTCGGGCGCTCTGCTGTGAAACGTGCGGTCGTTTACAGATTCAAACATGTAGCGTCATTTAAAAATAGCTGTCTGGAAAAGATTTATCTCCAAGCAGTTAAAATTAAAACACCTCTTTATGCGCCTAGGGGATAAGTATTTAATTTAATGAAATCTAATGACCGTTCAAGAAGTGATTTAGATTACGTGGCCTGGATAGTGCTGGTCGTAGCGACTGCTGAATGCTGCAGTCAAGAGACATTCAAAACGAGAAAAATGAAAAGTTTGTTTCTGAGAATATAATTATAATGTATTCCCTTTGTATCATATATTATTTTTATTTTAGATAAAGGACTGGGTGACGGAAAGGAAAAGTCAGATCATAATAAGCCGCGAAAGAAAAGATCCCGGGCCTCGTTTTCACATGGACAAGTTTACGAACTCGAAAGACGATTCCGTCATCAGAGATATTTGTCCGGCCCGGAAAGAGCTGATCTTGCGCAGGCACTAAAACTGACTGAGACTCAAGTGAAAATCTGGTTCCAAAACAGAAGATACAAAACAAAGAGGAGACAACTTCAACAGGAGCAAGCATTTGCTGCCAATGCTAAAAAGGCAGCAGTGACTCTATTAGTTAAGGATGGGAAACGGTTATATAACCCGGAAGACTTTGTGAGACCAATTCTGTATCCTTCCATACCGATTCCAGGTTTGAACTGTTACTACTGCATTCACTGACATCTTACGTAAATGTTAGACTTCCATTTCAAGATTACACAATAGCCGGAAACCTCATGCTCCATCACCTCGACCTGGGACAGTGACACTGCAGATATATCTCGGCCGGTGACAATATAAGGCTATGTTTAAACAATAACTTGAATCGGAACTTGATACTACATTTTACACTGCACAGACTTTTGAGATTGGAGGACGTCAATGATGTATCATATATCTATTTGTATTATGTTCTTATACTATTAATATTAAGTATGTTGGGTACTTATACCTCTGACTTCTGTACTTGAAAGACTTCATAGCCTGCTACACAATCTTGGTAATTTATGAATGTCATAATAGAGCTCATCCATGTGTCATACGTGTATTGATTGGCCAGTACTTACAGAAACCAAAGTATTACACTTTTTATTACATGAAGTACTACACACCTTTTATTCAATAAAATCCACAGCATGTGTATTAGAAGAAAAGATAGTTTAGTAAGATGAAAGATATCAAGGCGTGAAGCTTAATAAAAGTACTATGCTTTTAAACAAAATGATACGCTATTTTGGTAACCTATGGCTATTGTATTTCATATATTTATGCTACTGTTCTATTCTTAGTGCTGGCCAATGGAATTGTAGATAGTTATTTTTGTACATAATATGTCCATTTGCCGATATATATTTATATGTTGTGCCCCGACTCGTCACTCTAGTCATAATAATGTATATGAGGGTTAACAATTGGCATGTATTAAAGTTTCCTTACAAGTGTGAATTGCTCATCACACATTTAGCTATCATAAGTGCTAATGGATTTCTCAGACGTTTAACGAAACCACAATACACAGAACTGAAATGCCTTGAAAATAGAATATTCGAAATTCTCGTTGAATAACTCATCTGGTGTCAACGTGCTGTGATACATTTCATTCAATTAGCCCCTGTCATTTGTACAAAACAGCACCTGTTCTAAGGCGTGTGCGTCTTTTTTTAGTCATTATACACATATGTATAAGTATGGAAGATGCTTCAATAAAATTCCAATCTTTGTAATTCTACCACATATAGAGATAATAGTCTCCAGTTTCTCTGTAGAACACTAACTCAGTTATCCGCTCTTGTCGTTTTTGTTCAGTCATTTCCACTCACGTGTAAACATTGTTCACGTCACAATGTGAGAAACCGTGCCTCTTCCATGTTGTGTTTGTCACATCCGAGATAAACACTGTTGACGTCATTTGTTATTGTGCCTTATCCTCTTGTTTCTGTATATGAAGATTATTTATCAGAAATAAATGGACTGGGAACATGTATTTATCGCTTTCAATGCATATTGTTCATTACGAAATAGTAATTGTCCACGAATACAGTATGCTGATCAACCCCGAATAGCAAGTATTTCTACTGGATTTATCAGTGTTTTTCTTGTAGGCTGGTCATATATTGCGATAATGATAGTATGTGCTTGAGCATAAGGAAATTAATTCACCTTAATATTTGGACCAACGGATACTTTCTCTTCTTATTAGTTTAATAACTAAACTCTTAATGTCACGGTTAATGTTATGAAGTGACCATGTGCTGCGTCTCTATTCTCACGAGTGTTGCATGAAGACGCGACCTACCTTGTATCAGATGTTTCTCGTCGCTCAAACAACACGGGCTGTAACATCATGCTAGGGTATTGATGTCTAAAGTAGCTTCTAATTGCTCGGTGCAAAGATTTTGAGAATACCCCTCCAGGCGAGGGTAAATAATACAGAATAAATCCTGGTGCCTCGCCAGCCCAACATAAACAGTTTGGTACTGCAGGGGGAGACACTCACTCCGCTTTCTTTTCATCATTATGTCGCCCTGGGCTGAGAAAACTGCAGATCGAGGAAATCAAATTTCGGCAGCGTCATAGACCACCGGCTAAACTGTTTCCGTTTGCGGAGTGATGTTGGTAGCATTACATGTTGCAGGTGTACGAATGGTGTACATTTGAATGTATCTGACAGTTGACGAGCCCAGTACTTACTTCATGTTCTTTTTTGAATTGTGAATCCTATCAGATCCAAAGCAACCATGCTACAGCTATTACGCGTATAACAAACATACAAGTTCAGTTTCAGATGTGTTTATTCTTAATACTAAGAAGCCATAGGTGGTAAGGTGAGGTGAAATGGGGTTTAAAGTCGCGTACAATATCAGAAGCTTATACATGTATAGCGACGCGCATGTACGTGTGTGTGTGGTGTTTTGTACTAGTCTGGATTAATGCCGATTTTATAGTGCTAGCCCACTGAGATACCATGCGGCAGTTTAACATGAATACCTAACTCAGACACAGTATACTGACTCCGACTGACTTCGACCAGTCATTGTTTTAGTCCGTTAATTCCGAGCGCCAGGCAGGGTAACAACAACTATATCATCGTTTAACGTCTTTTCGTTTGACGCGGTCGTGGATAGAACCCCCGACCTTCGCTCCCCGGGCGGAAGCTCTACCACAAGACCACTAAGGCGGCCGAGAGGCCATAGGCCTGTAGTATATATTATGTAACAGTAATGGTGTATATGCAATTAAAGGGTAACACATTTTGAACTTCTTAGTTTCATCACGGACTTGTATAAGGTGATATAGGTCCGTGGTTTCATAGCATGCAATATGTACATTTATTTCGTTACGACTTTGTCAATTGACATTAACGAAACAAGTTTCGGTAAACTAGGATAAAGGATATAATATTTATCAGTCTGACATCAGCATAAAACGGACATATTAATGAGAAATGGTATTCATTGCTATAGTGTTTAAATCACAAAGCTGACAAAATATGTGTTCTTAACATTTAAAAGACGATAATAATTGGAAAAAAAGTAAGATGAAAGAAAGTATTGATTTAATGACAGGATCAAGACATATTGTGAATGTAGAAAGGAAACACTAGTTTAACACAATGGAACTCCCCAAGCACGCACCAATCTCTATTTGATATCATTGTTTGCTTCTTTTTAACACATTCAATTCAAAATATGTAGGCTATGTTTTTGATTGACTTGGTTTATCTTCAGTGGCACGAATGAATCCTGAAGTATTCGAGTCATTTCGACTTCAACATAAGCTTTGAATCCACCTTGACCGGGGCAAATACGTTTGATAATTTGAATAAATAAATTCACCTCATTGAATCATATTCATGAACGAAAGTGAAAAAGTTTAATACGTGTCAGTAATATTAGCATTCGTTTTTAATTTCATCGATTGAAAACAAAATATTGATGAGACAGCTTGGATTACAGTCTGTTATCCTGCACTTGACAACACAAGTGAATGTTGGCAAGTGTGAGTGGAATGTGGACAAGTCGATGACAAGTTCCCTGCATTGTCCGAGATTGTCCCCACATCCTGCACAATAAACTCTCAGTTTGCCCATAAACTTCCACTTTACCATGTTTACATACAATACACACTCTACACGCTCGATGGGGGTCCACAGGGGCACTTCTAATGCCATGTCTTTTTAAAACCTTTATGTCAGAACCGGCTGTTACAACAATATTTTCATTACCTACCTATAGTACATTAACATGTCTTCACATTATGATTGTGAGGCTAATATTGTTAGACGGATCTGTTTTCATTTTTGCACACATCTAATCAGGAGTAGAATATATCAGGTGATGTGATGTGCGTCGTAAAATGTTTAGTTTCGGAAATAGTTCCCTTTACTTATGCTTGACAATTGTTATAGAGTACATCTGTTTACAGAAATAAGAAATACAAAGTTTGAAAATGATTGTACTTGACACAGGTGAGACGCCACACACCAAGTCTGATGTTTTAAAATTTCACATGTTTAATATTCAAAGTAATTGAGTAAGGATTACCGCACTTTCAGCATTATCTTCATGTGGACAATCGAGCTCGGACCTATGGCTGACGAGCGAACGCTCTCACCACTTGGGTCACACCGCTGCCCCTATTCTTAATGCAACTCAGGTGATCAATGTTACGTAAATCTAAGAATCCGGCAAAGCGGCTAATATCGATGGAAATATACCGTCCGGAATAACAATGATTGTTCATACACTGTTTGTAGTATCGCCTCCTTCACTATTGTATGTCGAAAGAAAAAAATCCATGTAATTGAAATGTTTAGTTCATGAAAACATCTTCAGTCAAATATTAACATGTCTTCAAATGTTCACGAAAGAGATATTTGTAGGGTAAAAGGATACCAAAAGATCCATGTAATACAATTGCACATTACTTTTCCTTCCACCCTCGCCTGTGGGGCCTCAAACATGGTCTCGGAATTGGGATTTGACAGCTGACGCGTTCTGATCATTGTTCGGTAATTCTGAAAGTCTGGTGCTTGTTCCAGCTACTTGTTGGCATTCCCATGTCAAAACTGGATCCTAATTCAATACTGAGACGCTCTCTTAGCAGGAGAATTGTAGTGTGATAGGGAGGGGTTGCGGGGGCCGTTGAGAGGCGCATGTGGCCACCGCCAGGCAATACCTGGGGTCGTCCTACCGGAGAGTCCTGGCCCCTTGTTGGGGAATAGATGGGCAATATATCTATATACGCCATTGTCGTTTTGCTAACCCGAGTGTAGATATATAGAACCTTTGAAAGCAAGAGGGGCCCCCACAGCTACAGGAGAGCTGGGGAGGGGGTGGGGGAGGCGGGGCTGCATGTCACGTGTTCTAGCGTCTTTGCCCAGGCATTGGCTCTTCAGCAGACTGACATTTAGTCCCAGAAATAAAGTGATCTTATTTAAAAATATGTATCTACAAAATATAAAAAATATATGTAACCTAAATCGAGCCTAGAACAATCCTTAATTTCAGAAGACTAGAGCTGAGGCAATCTAGATGCCAAATCGTGCTAGACTTGAGCTGGGCTCTCAAAGTTATACTCTAGGGTCTGACAGACTAACTCTTCAGCAACAGAAACCATAATGACGATGACAAGCACTGCTGTCCATGTAGTTACGTAAAAGAGCTGTAGAGCTGTAAAACACTTGCACCAGGCGATATTCCATACCACATTAGTGTCGTAACTTCCTTCACAAAAGCGGTATGGTATGAATTCATATGGCTTCGTACCTCTGTTTGTATATTGTTTTACGCCGCATGTTTCACTCTTCCAGCTATGTCACAGCTGCCTGTAAATAATCGATCCTTAGCCAGGCGAACCAGTGGTTGATAGCATGGAAAACATCCCACGTCACACAAGTTGAGATAACATACACACGATAACGTCATGTAGCCTGATCTTTAGGTCGGCCTCTGAGACAAGAATGATGTCCTTGGGAAGTACTCTTACCGGTTTATATAATATGTACACTGTAGAAAAAGACTTGATATGCTTTCTGTCATAAAGTAGGAGATATACAATCAAATGTATAAATGATCGAATTAAAAAAACCATAGGTGTATCTCCATTCTACAAAGACCACAAGAGCACTTCAAAAACATTGCTCTCTTGGCAAACGCAAAGAGTATTACTCAAGTCCAAGATTAATCACTTATGTTCTTAACTAGTTCAAAATAATGTTTACAAAATATATCGTTTTTCAAAAAGAATTTATGCAATGACCCTCCGCAGATGAATATTTCATTTCATTTCCATCATTTGCTTATTTGCACTGTTTGGACTCAACCAATTCATTTCTTTGAAGTCAACATGAACTTGCTGGCAAAACCTCATTGCCAAGGGACCCACCTTGAAATATGTTTGAATGACGTCGTTCTGAGCTGAAGACAAATCGGCACTGTATGACATGAGAGAGTCTGAGAGACAACTCATTTTGATGACGGATGATTGTGTCGCCCTGACACAGTGGTCATGTGTCTATTACTTAACTGTATGTTCCGAGACATATTTCATCATGTTGATAAGCTATCGTTCTGATATCTGATTAATGAGTTATCGGCGGCCATTGTCTTATGCATCGGTCCGCAGGCTATCGATAGAATGATGTTTTCATACACAAAGTTCTTTTTTTAAAGACATGTTAAGTTACCTGATTTTCATCTTATTTTCGCCAATCAGACTCAAGCATTTTCACTGTCATGGTAAATATCTAAATTTAGTTACAACTCCGACGATCAAACACGCTCTGCCAATTAACAGAGATTTATATTTATCAATTTATTTTTACTACAGCGTGTTGTATTGGCATAAGCTGAAAAAGAACGAGTTAAAGTTATTGCAACTTAGAAAGCCCGGTACAGAACATATTTACAATATTAAACATACGAAGCCATTCATCAGAACAGACAGAAGGAAGAACGTATTTTCTGTGAAGCGAACCTTTGA